TATTCTTCTTTTTTAATTTATATTTTATCCAATTTTTTTCTCCATGTGTTTTATTTTTTTATTCATCTGAAGACTTGAGAGTTTTCTGCCCTGACAAAGGCAGCTGCTGGAGAAGATTGGATCCTATTCAACTTATTATTTTTTTTCTCTTTTCTTTAAATTGCCAGAGAAATTTATATAGTGGTTATGAAAGTGCAGGAGGGAAGGTGACAGAAAGAAAAAGAAAAAAGCTGAGGGGAGAAGAGAGAAGTTCTATATAAAGTGGTCACAGCTGATGCCTCTCACCCTCCGTCCTTCAAATACCCAAGCAGTTCCTGGGACCAGAGCAGAGTTTTGTGATGCCTGTTCTGCACAAGGTCACCGAAGTGAGCAGGGGCATTCTGGAGGATTGGGGTTCTGGAATCTAGACATCCTGTTGGGAGTACACTTTTTCTCCTGTAGGGCCTTCCTTTAAAAGGGGAATCATTCTGAGCAGATGAACTACATTCAACACTGTCCCTCACAGCTTAAATATATTGGGGAAGATTCAGAAAGCTGCAGCAAAACTCTTTGGAGCAACCCCAGATAGGAGCTATGGAGATTCTCAGTCATCCAGGTCATGGTTGTCCCAAAGGTGCTTTTTCAAAAGTCAACTGGACTTTGTTTTTCCTTGAAAACCTTTTGCTTCTCATCCAAAAAGCTTCTTCAGTGACAAAGCTTCTTGGATGAGAAGCAAAACATCTTCAAAGAAAAATGAAGTCCAGTTGACTTTTGAAAAAGCACCTTTGGGACACCCAAATCGGGGGGTTTGGAAGCTTGGGCATCACTGCAGGGACCAACCGGGTTTCTACTTCAACTGGAGAAGGCTCTTCTCAAAAGGATCCAGGCAAGCAGGAGGATGAATCTGGATAAGAGATTCTCAACTGTCCTTCAAAGTAATTAGAGCTGCAAAGATCGAGAGAGAGAGAAATTGGATGCAGATTTTAACAGATGGTAAATATTGGTGTTTTACAGGAAAGACAAGTTCGACTGAATAAGAAACAGTCCCAATATTTAATTTTGGCAGAAACCAAATGGCCTGCTCTATTCAGTTTCTCTTTCTTTCTGTATCTAGTAACCCTTTGATCTTCTGTAGCAGAAATGGTCGGTTTAATACTCTTCCAGGGATTAACCCTGAGGTTTCTCATACCCGAAGTAAATGCTTTGCCCCTCAGCTCTTCGTCATCACTCTGAAGCCACGTTGCTATGGAAGCACTCTTTAGAGAGCCAGGACAGGCAGAAGGGCCCACCTGAGCATCGGATCCGTGGCCAGGTAGGCTTGTGGCCTCAGCATGCATGGCGTGGTCATCCGCCACTGAGTCTTCCTTGCCTTTGGAGCCCTACAGACCCCTCCAAGCAACAGACTGGAGGGGCAGGGGCTCCTGTTTTCCCAAAGCCCTGATGGACAATTAGAAGACTTCTAAAAACTTGGTCCTATTCTACTCCTGTTCTGGGCCCACAAAACCCAGAATCCCCCAGGTTGAAAAGCACCGCTCTAGAACCTAGGAGAAGGCTTCCTTTGCACTGCCTGGGAGGCAGAGTGTGTCAAAGCCAATTAAAACTAGGACAGAGCATGTCAAAGTGTGCCAAGGCAGAGAATATGCCAAAGCCTTTACTGCTGTGGCTCCCACATTGTGGAATCTTCTCTCCCTGTGATGAAGTTGACCTCACCCCTTCTGGGCTTCCAAAGATCCTTCAAGACCTGGTGATGCCAGCAGGCCTGGGGGGCCCCAGGGGACAGGCAAATTAGTCAGTTGGCTCTGTTGGGAATTAATATTGACAATGGGTTTAGGTATCTATTCATTGTTTTGCCACCCAAGATTGCCTCTTTTGTGAGATGGGCAGCTGTAAAAATACAAATAAATGTCATCATAGAAAAAAGGCTGAATTTAATGTAACAAGGACCCAGAGATCTTTCCTGCCCCAGGTTCCCCAGTCCCAAAGGCAGGGTTTACTGACTTCTTACTGGCTTTCAGGCTGCAACTGGGACCACCATCTGCCTGCCCCTTGCCGAAGGAGCTCTCTTGGCCCAGCGCTCCCCCGTCTCTCCTGCCATTCCCAGCCAAGAATGCAAAACCCGCCTTCAGGTGCCAGCCTGTTTTCCTGGTGCAATCTATTCTGGTTACTGATTCTCAAGTTTTGTTTCACAAAATCCTGGCTCTCGGTGTTGCGCCTTGGGGGAGGTGGTATCCAGCCATTGTGGAGGAGTAGACTTCCTTGTGCCCAGCCTCTGCCAGCTGGCACCTTCCCAATCAGACGTCGCTCCAATCCGATGGGTGATGAGGTTGGTGGCAGATTGAGCCAAGCTTTGCTTGCCTCCGAGACGGGCTGCGTTGTTGGAATTCCTGCCGAACACTTTTCCTTCTTGTTCCTTTTGTGGCGTTTAATTAAATATCTGTTTGTCTAGAGTCAAACACTGACAGCTCTGAAACCTCCAATGATTTATCAATAAACACAATGAGATAATTGCTCCAATGCTCATCTGACCTTTCCACAGCGCACAGCGAATGGAAGCGGACCATTCTCTCCAGCTTCCCTCTTCCTGCTGAAGCTTCTTAGCTCTGATTGATGCCTCCTCATTAAGTGTATTAAAAGATGGTGAAATATCACTGGGCACTTCGACAGATTTTAAAAGACGTCCGTCTCTCCCTCTCCCTCTCTCTCTCTCTCTCTCTCTCTCTCTCTCTCTCTCTCTTGATACCTGCAATGGCGGAAGAGAGGTGAGGTCGAGGTTTAATGACCTGGCAAGGATTAAAGAGAGAAGTCAAACTCCTCGCTCTGTTTTCCTCTGCCTGACCTTGGAACAGAGAGGCGGAGGGGGTGTTAGCTTTCCCACCAATTGATTGTACCGCCACTCCCATGTGTTTCTCTGCTCTGCGAGAAACGGTTTCAATCAAGGCCTGTGTAAAGGCCATTTTGCTGCCCAGGCCTGGGTTTCACTGTTAGACAAACAACTGGTCAGAGGTCAAGTGCTTCAGTTAGATATCTGACCCACCGTGTCCCAGAGATCCAAGGCCTGTAACACCTGTTCAATCAATAAACTTACAACCAGTATGGATGGAAGGTTAAAAATTTGTTCCCTACCAGTGTTATTCAACCTTGGCCGCATTAAGAGGTGTGGACTTCAACTCCCAGAATTCCCCAGCCAGCCGCTGCTCCATACCATACTGATATTCCGAATGTAAATGTTTGTGCAAAGGGCCTTCTGGCTATTATTTCAGCATCCTACCCAAGCAGAGAATAGGGTCTGCCACAGAGAAGCATTGAGGGATGAACCTCAGCATCAAGACATCCTGTTCATCCCTGCCTTTCCAACCCTTCAAGGTTTAAACGTCAAACATTTAACCCCAGTTTATACCCCAAAACACTCATTGATACATACAAATTAGATTTCAAGGGTAACATCTAGCATGTTGGTCTCTGTACATTTCAATTTTATTATGCAACTGAGTTATTCCCAGAAGCCGACCCACATCCAGTTCTTGCACATGAAAACATTTGTGTTCACGTGGACCATTTCTAGTTCAGGGTTATTCTGGGCTCGGTTTACATATGAAGCCGCTCTCAGAAACTACCCCAGGACTGCAAAAAGAAAGATCCAAATATATGAAATTACTTACAGAATGATAGCACTAATGAAGACGAGTGGAACATCGTTCCCAACATGGGAACTCCGAGAGCTTTATTACTTATAAATAAATAATTTATCACTTCTCTTACTGGCTCTTCTCCCGCGGTGCTTGCCGCATGTGAGGCACAGGAGGGGCCTAAAAGTACTTAGCAGACTCCTGGATTATAAACAATTAAAACTTTATTGATTTATTGATGTATTGGCTTCCTTGTTTATGTTACTTACAACCCACCCAAATCCTAAGGGAGACCCGGTAACATATCAAAGGGGGGAAAAAAGGAACTGCAGCAATAAATAGCTAAATCAAAATCACACCGCAGGAACAAATAATCTGGGCTACACAAGTTGTTTCCTATTCGAAGGCACAAAATTCCATGCTTATATACAGGATGGCAGTTCAGATTGCACAAACTCCCTTCTTTTTTCCTACTTTCTTGTCTTTCCTGCACCCAACGACTTTCTCTTCTACTTGCTTCTCTCTGTGTCTTTTTACATTTTTCTGCTCCACCTGCTGCCCCTGAATCTTTCTCTCACTGCAGCAAAATGTGGCTGATCTCTACTTTCCATTTCTGGTGAAGGTCCCACCACCAAATCTTTCCCTGGACTGGTGACTTTTAAAGGGATGGGGCCAGTGGTAAAATCCATTTTTTTTTACTACTGGTTCTGTGGGTGTGGCTTGGTGGGCGTGGTGTGGTTTGGTAGGCATGGCAGGGGAAGATCTGCAAAATCCCCATTCCCACCCCACTCCTGGGGAAAGGATACTGCAAAATCCCCATTCCCACCCCACTCTGGGGCCAGCCAGAGGTGGTATTTGCTGGTTCTCCAAACTACTCAAAATTTCCGCTACCGGTTCTCCAGAACCTGTCAGAACCTACTGGATTTCACTCCTGGATGGGGCCAAGGACAGTGCAATGTCAGGGGGATCTAGCCAGACACGGGACTCTTTCTGCATGGAAAGTGAGGTGCACAGCGTTGCTTCCTGGGAGGCAGAAGAACAAGGCAGGCACAACCTCAGGATCAGCCACAGACGTTGCAAGGAAGCCCAGCTTAATGGAATTATCCATTTCACTTCCTCCTTTAATGGAGCCCAGCCCCGCCAATTAGCACAGGGCTGGATCTCCTCATTAACTCCATCCATGGAACCAAAGGCTTTGCTGACGGTTATGTGCACCTTCCAAGATGAAGAATTGGCGAAGGATCCATGCAACCTGATGTATCGTGTCTGGAGAAGGGAGAGAAAATAACGAAGCAGCCCAAAAAAAAGGCTGCTCTCCCATTTCAAATCATGACACCGTCTTCATTTCTTAAAATTATTTCAGCCGTGGTGGCAACAAAGCCAGAAAAGCATACATTTGATCAATTGTTGTTTATTGTAAATCTAAATAGACTTTAAAGTAGGAGAGGGAACAAAGAGAGGACATCTTGTGAAGTTGGAATGCATCCAGTTCAAACTCCAGGGCTGTCCTTTGTTATCGGGAGTGTTCTCAACTTCAATCGTCTGAATGTTGAAAAAGCCTTTACAAGTCAGAAATGCCTTTTGATGCATGTTAGATTTCAACTGCCTCCATTCACAACCGGAGTTTGGCAGGAATGTTGACTAGTAGGTGTGGGAGATGAATGCCTTTGTGTCTTCTGTAATTTCCCGCTTTCCACAAAAGCTTCAACCCGAGGGATTTCATGCAAAACTCGGTTAGCCTAAACAAAAATAGCCATCCTCTGCAGCAGATTCAGGAGGGAGGGGTGAGTTCGAGGCCACGTGAAGAGACTGGTCACCTTCCCACCTGTGTGTTGGTCCCCTCAGAGGCCATGAGGACGGAGCCTTCTCTGTAAGAGGAGATGGCAGGTGAGACACACCCAAGATGCCCCAAAAGTCTCTGGAAAACTTTTACTCCTCTCCTTTGATTATTAATCTTTTCTTTCCCTCCTAGGATAGCGTCTGCCTCTGTTAATTGTTTCTAGGTTCATAATATAATGAAAAACAGTCTTCTGTGCCCAAGGCACCTTTTAATTATACAACAGCGCAGGTGAAACCACTTGATACTTCCCCTCTCCCTCTTACCCTGCCTAGTAATTAAGGAAGGCCAGGCTTTCTCTCTAGGGGATGCGGTCAAATTCACTGTTGCCAAACAATCAAGTGGAGCCTGGATGTGACGTGCCCATCATTTCTTGAAGGGACAACAGGAAGGGGGGGCTAATTCAAGTGACAGGGACCCAGAGGAAGTCAGAAAGCAAGATAACTGAAGAGGACCATTCCGAAAAGAACATCGCTGAAGGAATGCAGAAAGCCAGGGAGAGAGATCAGAGGACGGGGTCAAGGGATGATTATTTTAGATCCAGGAAAGGGCCCAATGGATCTCTGGCATCTCCTTGATCGAATGTCTCCACCCCCTGCACAAAATGCTGAAGGTTGTCTCGTGTTCTCCAGCCACCTGGAATGAGCAAGAGGGACGTCTGTCGTGGCTGCATCTGTGAAATGTTGGTCTGTTGCTCATGCTATTTACTGATTATTACTATCAAAATACTGTCTCTTGGCACTGATTACAATTACACTTTGAAATGTGCATTTTACGTTTAAAAAAACCTCCTCCTCTGCTAGCTTCTCTGGCTCTTTTCCACCAATTGGTCCACCTGCTGGTGTTATTTCAAGTTTACGAACATGGTGCGCAGAGGGCATGAATAAAGGAGACAGAAAATCAAAGTGGAAAACTTGCCAAGCGCATTAGAGCAGAATCCCTGCTCGACAGACCTCAGCAAAAGAGCCTCCTGGAAAGAGCCCTGCCTGGAATCTCAGGAGCCCCGGGGCCCCACCGTTGGCGGACTGACTTCAGCCCTGGGTGAAGGGGCAGCCGTTTCATTCCGCAGAAGGAGCCTTCCCAGCTCCCTCCTGCCTGTGGGAAAGGCTGCCGAGAGGGATTCCACTCCAGAGAGCGAGTGGATCAAGGTGGCCAATGGGCGGCCACAAGAAATCTATTGCCACTGCTCCCACAGCATCGATGGCATGAGAAACCTCCTCCCACTGAACCCCCTTTGGTGGTCCTGAAGGCACCTTTCTGACAAGCATCCCTCAGAACTGATGGCCGACTTTTTTGTCTCGTGGGCACAAGCACAGGAACTGTAAACCTCTTTCTAGAGCTCCATTAGCAGAAAGCTGGTGAGATACTTCCCCTCCCCTCCCCTCTTTTCAAACCCGTCTTATTGATATAAATCCTCCAAGAAGAAAAGCAGCAATTTGTCTTTTTTTCTCCCCACTCTGCAGATGGAAAAGGTGGGCCTTCACAGGCCTATCCAGAGCCTTGTGAAACATATTCTATGATGATGATGATGATGATGATGATGATGATGATGATGATGATGACAATGACAACACTGGCAGTATTACTGACAAGGTGCAGTGCCACCATTTCCCTGCCTGATCACCACCAGATGTCTATTTCTGCTTCATCTTTCATCCTGGCCAAATCAATAATCAAATCTATTCCAAGTGCTTGGCTTTTGCTTCAAAATTTCCATTTGGCTTGTACAGTCATTCAAAATAAAATATTTAGAGGACAGAAGACCTGCAGAGCTCAACTTGTGTGTTTTGGGTTTTGTGCAAATAATTAGACATCACAGCCCTTCTCTGGGCTCTAGTTAGAGCCGTTCCTTGCTTTCTCGCGCCCCCCCCCCTCAGCACAGCTCCATTGGGAAGGGAGCCCCGCTTATGGAAATAATGAAGCTAACCATGTCTTACAAATTGTCTGGGCTGCGCTCTGAAGTTGCTGGTGTTCAAAGAAATTTTTCCCAGAAGATCTTGCGGAGGAAGAAGGGGTTAATCCCTGCATTCACATTTTCTTCCAGACTTGAAATCCATCACGCAAAGATGGAGCCATGGAGAAGAACAACCACAGAGAGGAAGAGCCCGGGGGTTTTTTTAGGAGTTGGTGGAGTGAGGGTCATTCAGAGCTCACATCCCCCTTTTGTGGTGAACTGAGAAGCTGCCAGTCCAATCCCTTAGGGAAGAAAAACCCTCAAAAGTAAAGGTACTTTTACGGAGAGATGCTGGTTGCAGTAAAGTCAGACGGAATCTGAGTTTCCCATGCAAGAAGACACAAACTATTTCCTTCCGTCTTGTCCGTCCCCCCATGACGAGTCCAAACCCAGCCAATGCGATGCTGCCAGGATGTTTTGGGAACACTGAGGCATTTCAGCTGGTAACTTTCCACACTCAGGACAAACGGCCTTCAAGATGCCTTGGCACCACCGGTCCCTCAGTGATCTGCTTTTCCTCAGCTGTCACTCCCCCCCCACACACACACACACCTGAATTAACCCACACAAAAATGCATACAAGTTTATTGCTACCCATTTGGTTTTCCCCCCAAAAAACCCCAGCCCTTTGATGGCAGGATGCCAGCGCAGTGCCAAGGCAAAGATGGTGGACCTGACAGTATTCCTCCCCCAAACTAGCTAGCTCCAACAGATTGCATATTCGTCATGAGATGTTCTGTTCTTTTCTGTCTTAACTTCTGCCTGACTTATGGTGACACATGAACAAGGTGAATTACACAGTAGCGTAGTCCACGAGTTCAGCAATGCATGACTTAATGCAGGTGTCTCCAAACTTGGCAGGTTTAAGACTTGTAGAGTGCAGCATGCTGGCTGGGGAATTCTGGGAGTTGAAGTCCACAAGTCTTAAAGTTGCCAAGTTGAGAGAGCCCTGCCTTGGTGCAAAGTAGGTGCTTCACCCACTGGGCCTTCCCACCCAAGTAGTTTCCAGGTCTACAGATTTTCTTGGCCTCATAAGATCGTAGGAGAAGCAACCTCAACAAGTGTTGGGAGAGGACCTTCTTCTCTGTCCTCAGGGTGTGCTGCCTTTACCTACCTCTCTGCCGGGAGGTTCCCTACCCAAAGGTAGACTCTCAGCACGGCTCCAATGGAACACCTGGCTGTTTATTGTACAGAAATCCCCTGGGAACCTGGCAGCTTTTCCAGGTGCATCATTCTTCCTCCACCCACAGGCTACAAAACAGGAAAGGCTAAGCATGGAAGCACAAGGGGACAATCACCTGGGCCTCCCTTTCGCCTTCTCTGACGTGCTTCTTTCTGATGCCCAATAGATTTGCATGGGTGTCAGGAAGCATTTTCTGCCCATAATAGTGATGGGGACAAACTCTTCCCCGCAAGCCACTTAGTCAGTGCATCAGTTCCACAAAGATGTGATTAAAATAATAATAAATTAACTAAAAAAGCCACCAACAACACCCCATTTCAGGTGTGAAACAGCTTTAAGATAACTAATTATTTACACAGCTTGGTGCTGCATCTGTGGCTGTATTTTTGATAAATATTTTGAGCATGTTTGAGCTTGAAAATTAACAGAAACCTGAGCGATGTCACTTTAGAATTCTACATCGATATTCACTTCTCAGGATTGTTGCCCTGCTGACTCCGGATGGCTGGAGGTGGCAGCCGAGGGCAGAAGAGGAACAAATGCTGTTCTGGTACACAGTGAGTGCATTGCTGAATAGCCTGTTTTCACACCGAGACACGCACAAGGCTAATCCTCCTTTGCAGTAAAGCCTTAACTTTGCTGCTTGGCTGGATCACCTGCTGGCCAGGCCTGGCACTAATAAGAAATCCAGAGAGCTCCTCTTCCACATGGCCCAATTTCAGATTTCCCACAAATGTCAAGTACAGGAAATCAAGAAGTTTAAATGAATATATGGGTTTATTGCATGCTCTCTACAAAAATCTGAACTACTAGTGGTCAAGGCAAATTGGCAGTAGATAAGGGTCAACGGAGCTCAAGGTGAGCTGGACTTAGATCTCTTGTTGCCATGAAGGGACTCAAGACTGATGACATGCTTGACCCCTCCCTCAGCCTGGCCATTTCCTACACAAATTTGGAATTGTGTCAGTAGATCCACCATCAGGATTGACAAACAATTTTCGTTGGTCTGCTGAAACTGGAACTTTGGGTTCATGGTTTATATTTGTAGGCATCCCTAAGCTTTGAGTCATATCTTCCTTTTGGGAGCTCACGAATGCCTTCAAGGCTATCCCCACAACAAAAACCCTATGAAATAGGTTGGACCGAGGGAGAATGACTGTGGCTGAGGGTGCATCTGAACCTGGTTCTCTTCAGTCCCAGTTTGACATGTTAAGTCTTATTGCATCCCTTCACGAATTCCTTTCCTTCCATCCTTATAAAAGAATCTAAGATTTTTGAGAAGCTGCAGGAAAAAAAGGTTTTTTCCCCCATGGCTGAAGGGTAGACTTTCTAAGCTTCTCTCTGCTACCAAACCAGGAAAGGATCAACATAACAGATCAATTCTCCCGTCTCTTGCTGGGGTAGCAAGGCTAAAGACAAGCTCTCAGGCATCTCCTTGCCAAATAAATGCTGGTGGTGTGCAAGAACTTTGCCCTTCTTTGGCCTATGGCGTTCCTTCTTGCCAACGCCTGGCTCAACCGGCAGCCTCAAGCCCTTCGCTAGACCGAAAGAGGCTGGAGGGAAAGGCTCTGGATCTCCAATGCTTAATCACTCCAGCTAGCGAGCCTCTCACTTGGCTCTTTCTTGGCCATTCAGAACCATCCTTCTCCCATTGTTAATGCAACTGCCATACCCTGCCTCTGCACTGAGTGAAAGCTAATTATAATAATTAACAGAGAACTCGTGAACTTGTCAAACTGGTAATTATAAACCGCAGGGACTTTTATCATTAATAGACAGTGCTCAGAGTAAAACAATGAAATAGAACCAAGGCGTAAATGTTGCTTTTGATCGAAACTGCACTGAGTGGGATTGTCAGCTCTGGCCATTGGTCATCGTGTAGTGGGGTCATCCTAGCCATTGTCTCCAGGCCCAGAGGAAGGCAAAGCGGGCAGGCAAAAAGAGCCGTTGTAGAAAGGACAGGGCAGGTTTTCTGGCTGCTGCGTCTCTTGGTGGTGTCCAACCTGTAGTTCAACCGGCTCTGAATTGGCACCCATCCCCACACGGAGAGGTCTGGCCAGGTGAAGCGAGTCTCTGGGCCTGGGCGGGGCCCAGAGAGAGTGGCACCCTCAAACCAAGCCTGGAAAGTGAAACTTCTTGGTTCATCAAGGCCATGCAGAAGAGGTGATGGAGTCTCCTGAGATGCTAAAATGGATGTCCTAGATCAGTTTGGAGAGACAAGAAAGCATTGAGGAAAGTCATTCCACATTAAAGGGGAGAAAAATGAAACTTTCCTATTTGTTCATGTCCATGCTGGGGGTGTAATTCCTTTCCCTTTTCTCCCTTTCCCTGAGGAGGTCCCCTCTTCAGCAGGCATGCAGAGACCCAGAGCAAGGAAGCTCTCAGATAGGACCAGGCACCTGCACTGGACAGCCCATCCAGCTGAAAGGAGACCTCTGCCTCCCTCCTTGGAGGACAGTGGCAGTTAAGGCATCCTGGACCTTCTCAACTACATTCACCAACCTCCAAGCTGGCGGGTGTCTTGCTTGTACTCCTGCCACCTTCCGTCTATGGAAGAGGAAAGAAAGGTCCATGACGGTGTTTGTTTCAGGCAGGAAACATCCATGCAGGAGTTTATTAGCAGCAACGCTGTCCAAAATGTATCCTTTCCAACCTCCGAAAAGGACGCAGCCCCACTCAGCCCCTATGGGGATGGGAGGGTGGCAGTGAAGCCCTCGGGATCCAGGGGCTTCCTGAAAGCCAAGCGCTGGCCCCTCTGAGCCCTGCAGGGGCTCTTTCCACTCGCTATGAAAGAGAAACCTCTGGCGTTTGTCAGGGATCCATGGAGGCCTTTCTTTTCAAAACCCACCCATCAGCAGAGATGTCATTATTTTTCAACTTTCCCTGCTTGTATTGTAAGCTTTCTCTCCTGGACGGTAAACAACAAATGGTTCTTTTCACCCAAGAGATAAGATTGTTTGTCTTCCAAAGTCACCGCAGTGTGTATGTGAGGCCTGGGATTGTTTGAATAATGAGTCTCCCGTACAACGTATGTTTCTTTTTGTGTGTCCTTCTGGTAACAAAGATCTGAGATTTCCCAAGGCAGCGGCGGCTTCACCTACCAAGGAGGCTGTTTCTGAAGGGCAGCGACGGCCGTGCTGGAGGAAGGCAGCTCCTCCTGCCTCTCCACTCTCCAGGCGGAGAGGCTGCCTGCAAGCAAACTCTTTCTGTGCAAATCCCCAGCAGGAGCAGAGCAAACCGCACAGGCCACCATCCTGTCTTCACTCCAACCACTGCAGCAGATGAGCTATTGATTTGCAAGCTTAAAAAGTAGAAATATGAATCTCGGAGCTGCTATTTTAAGCTTTCCCCAGGTTCAGGTTGAACCTTCCTGAGCAGGG